TATCGTTCAAATACTCCATATCATTTTTTTGCAGTTGATTTATTCAAGACCGAGGTACTGTTTTAAAGTCTTTCTCTCCTCGTACATTTTTTTCCCCTTCTGCCGTTTCTGTGTTGTATATTTCAATTCTGCATTATTTGATTCTTAAGATTTATGAGTTTTGTATGTTCATTGTGAAGTGTGCCCTTTATCAAAATAAGATTTTTAAGCCCATTTAATGCATTTGGTCTTGAATATGACTTCTTCATATATTACTGCTGCCATGCCCACTTTAATTTATGTTTGCTTATCCATTTAGTTTCAATATTTCTCTTTTAAAATGTTTTAGTAGAGGCAAATAAAATAAAAAGATAATTTAGGCGTGTTTTCATACACATCATGGGTCTTTTTTTTTTTCTCTTCTCTTTAAAATTACCTTCTATATACAACAGGCAATGGGAGTTTTAAAAACGAATCTGAAAGTTTTTGTCATTTCATAAGGCTATTTAACCTGTTTATACTTATAACAGTTTCTGGTGTTACTTCTGTCATTTCGGCTTTGTGCTGTTTTCCATGTTTCATTGCTTTTCTTTCTCTCTCTCCCCCTTTCTCTGTCCATCTGTCCGTCCCTCTTCCTTCCTTCCTCTCTTTCTTTCTTCCTTTTTCGTGTAACATAGAGTGACCATATTTTCTTTGATTTTTTCCCTATAGTGTTTCCCTTTTAGATCTTAAAAACATCATTTGAACCTACATTTCTCCATCAATAGTAACAGCTAAAATTGAGTGCTTCCTATCTGACAGGCACTTCTCACATACAATATATGGCTAAATTATAGCAACTACTGAATAACTATATTAGCAACTAGGTAATGCTATTTTATATACAATTTAAAGATGAGAAAACAGAGTCACAAAGAGGTTAAGGACAGAATTTACACCACTTGTCTAGAATCCATAGCTACAATTTGAACCCAAGCAGTTTGACTCAGGGGCCTGCCCTCTTAGTCATCTTGCTAGACTGCCTTTCTGTTTTCACGAATTAAATAATATTATGTCCA